TCTCCATGGGACCCTTCCACTCCATTGCTGGGACCGACCGACAGCACCTGGTGACGTCCCGACTCTCCCAAGTGTGGCTGCGCCGCAACCAAAGGTTTCTCCAGCCAAAAAAGCTCCTTAGGGAAAGCAGAAGCAAAACTAAATCAGCACGGTGCCTCCTTCCCCCTCCGCCACTTGAGGGCTCAGACCCAACAGGATAAGAAAAAAAAACCAAGGTGCAACTTAACGGGACATTTCCACAACTAAAGTGCAAACCAGAGACGTCCCTCGCCCGCCACCAGCCAGGGACAAACCACGGAACAAGAGATTGGTGGGTTCGGCACCGCCAGCGTGGCCACTCACACCCCAACCGTGTCGGGATCACTGGTGTGACAGCTCTGTGAGTGAAGGTGGGAGCAATGGGGAAGGGTCGCCTGTGGTGGTTTCACGGCGATCGGGGTCCGGTGGTCGCCCCGCTTCCCCCCTTCCCCTATAAAAAGTCCCCAGGCACTTCCAATCCTCCAGCAAAAAAGGCCACCTAGGAAGAAATTAAGGACACTGCAGCTTTCCTTCCCCCCAACAGCCAAACGGAAGAAACAGGAGGGGAAAAAAAAAAAGAAAAAAAAGAAATCCGTGACAGACCCCCTAGGGAAAATCCCGTGTTTTCCGGAGGTCTCTGGTTCCAGCTGGCTCGCCACAACGCGAACCTCCGAGGCCAATGCTGCCACCTCCTCGGGTCTCTCCCCGCTCCAGCTCTACGGGGAGGGTGGAAGGAGAGACGTTAACGGGAACCCAGATTTACCCAAGCAGAGAGGGAGGTGGGAGAGGGAGGAAGATGGAGGGAGAAATCAGAATATTAGGTCGCTATTTGCACCTATAATACAAAGTGAAGAAGAGTTTCTTTTTTTTTTTTGGAAGTTAAGTCCCCGGCTGATCTAGTTCCACTGCCTTCGGGATGGTAGGAATGGGTGTCTGGTGGTGGTTTTGAAGCATTAAAAAGTGCAGTTAGAGGGAGCTCTCGGGAGGGTTTTGGTTCAGACGGGTTTCTCGGTGTGCCGTTATGGAGGTGAGGTGTGGCGGACGGGGATGGAGGTTATATCTTAGCTCTTCCTCTCGTGCGGGCGCTGGCGGAGGCCGCCCTTTAGTTGCTACAACACTGGTTCTTGTTCTGCTGGCTCTGCTCATGCAGGTCCACACCTCTGCTCCTGCCCGCCGCTCCGCTCGTGCTCTGGGGCTCACTCTTTGGCAGCTTCTTGGCTGGAGGGGAAGACGGGCGAGACGGCGGTGGTGGTGGGAGTGGGACGGGAGCTCGCTCTGTGGCACAGCCCCCACTGCTGCGGGCTTCGGGGCAGGCCGAGGGACCTGGCCCGACCCCCCCTGGAGTGCCGCGGGGACCCTGAAGCCATCCCGGCCACACCAGCAAGGCCTACGCGCCTGCCGGGCACTTCCCCAGGGAGAAAGGGCAGTTTGCCCTTGAGCTGCTCTCGCACCGAGCGTCAGCCTCGGTGCCAAGCCCCAGTAGCAGCACTGCAGCCCGTGGCAGAGCCACTGCTGGGCTTAAGGAGCCATGCTCACCAGAGGGCAGGACAGACACCAGCTCTGCTCAGCCTCCC